AGAGATGATCTGAGGCCTAGGAAAACCAAGGGAAGATCATTGTTCCACCTCGTAGTGTTACCTCTGGCAGTTATGGTTGTTTTTAAAGAACGGTGAAACCTTTCTAAAATTCCGTTGCTTTGACGTGTTCCTAGAAGGGTGTGAAATTTTGAAAAGAGTTTTGATTCGAATTGTCGTTCCTGATCATGGGTTATAGTGCTAGGAATGCCAAATCGGCTGAAATAATGCCGAAACAAAGTATCTAATAAAAGAAGTATAGCAATAGAAGAAGAACCAATATCTTTGAGAGGAAAAGCTTCTGGCCAACGCGTGAAACGATCTATTACGGTGAGCACATATGTGCAGCCAAGGGACGGAGTGGGAGGACCGACCAAATCAATGTGGATATGATCGAATCTTAATTTTGGGTTCGGAATTTTACTAATAGGTGATTTTGTGTATCTTTGAACTTTTGTTTGTTGACATCGCAAATAGGTTTTTGTCCATAACTGAATGTGTTTTGTCATGTGAGGCCAAAAGAATCGTGTTTTGATGATGTGTGTAGTAGCGCGAATACCAGGATGTGTTAAGTTGTGAAATTTGTTGAAAATTGTTTTACGAAATTTTTGTGGTATGTATGTTCGAGGATTGTTTGTTGAAATGTCGCACCAAAGCTTTACATCAAAATGTGATGTTGTTTGTTGCGATAGGTTATATTTAGTAGTTTGTGTCTTTGAGTATTGTTTGTTTAGTAAATGTGTTAATTCTGTATCATTAAATTGTCTGTGTGTCAGGGTACTGTGAATTTAGAGAATCAATATTTGTTCTGGACAACGTGTTCGTTACAATGTTTGATTCTCCTGTAATGTACCTGATATCTGATGTGAATTGTGTTATGTAACTAAGATATCGTGTCTGACGTGGAGTTTTTTCTGTGTTAGAAAAAATTGTGTTGATTAGAGGTTTGTGGTCAGTGTATACCACAAATTTACTTTAATTTATTACTACATGCTACAAGTACCTAAAGATACATTTTCAAAAATATGACTATTACCACTTAACTAAGAGACATGGAATGTTTTTCTTATTTTTACCAGAACTGGTATGGCTTTACGTTGAGTTTCGAGACACTCTGTATATAAGGAAAATTGACTGATCTCCAGTTAATTAATCATTAATTTTGAAAGATGATGAATTTGTCAATTAAAAAAAATGGTTGAAAATCTTACTTTCTCTCCGGAAGTGAAATCACCTGCCGATTTTATCCTAGTTCAAAGTAGAATTGTATCGGAAACTGCTGAAATTCAAAATACCAAGTTTATAAATAATTTGAAGAAAGCAGGATTAACGGTGGAACCTGTTGATGGTGTTAAATACCCGCAATATATATTTTTTAAACTTTACGCCTCCGATGAAGCCTTAGCACACCTCGCTGTGATTCACGGTTTATTTCCAACGTTTAAACATGACAAAACAATGCCGAATTATACGAATAATTGTAGATTTTTTAAAACGCCGATTAGTTTGAAGCCGAATTATTTGAATCCTTTATTTTCAAGATGCAGGTTTTGATTATTTATTTTTTTTTAATGTAACATTTTTTTATTATTTTTTTAGTAATTCAGTTAGAGGACAAGAAAACACAACATTTACCAGCGCCGAAAGAATAAGTTTGATCAATTGTGTTTTAACTAGAACGAAATTTGGGACATCCCCGGATGAATATGGACTCGGAAAGTTATTGGCCAACAATAATTTTGATGATGCTTTTCCTTTACATGATGGTCCAGATGAATGGAGTGAATCGGGTCCGTTGAATGATAGACAAGTATTAATTTCTTTTTGTATGGAACCGTTGAAATTGAATTTTTAAAGATTTTAGCTAAATTCTGGGGAAATTGGAGGATGTTTTATAAATTTCAACCAATTCATATCATTTATAAATATTATGGATCTGAAATTGCTTTTCATTATGCCTGGTTAGAATTTTACACGAAATGTTTGATTATTCCGGCTGTTTTGGGTATATTCGTATTTTTTGGAGGACATTATGATTTATATTTATCGGAGAATGGTGTTGAAAGAGTGTATTAAAAATTATTTACTATCATAGTTGAATTAATTAAAATAATTTTATTTTTAGCGACGAAATTTGCAATTCGAATATGAAAATGTGTCCAACTTGCACTCACCAACACTGCTATTATAAAGAATTAAAAGATTATTGTGAAACAGCTGTAATGGCGTATCATTTTGATAATATTTATACGTTTTCTTTTGGCGTTTTTATAATAGTTTGGGGTTTGTTGTTCTTTTCATTTAAATTTTAGGAGTAAAATTGATTTTTAATTTAAAGCTACTGTTTATATTGAATTATGGGACCGAGAAGAATGTATTTTACATTATACTTGGAATTTACATAGATCTACACAACAAATTGATGAATTGTAATAAAATTTATCATATTAAGTGATTTAATTATTTTATTAATTTGAATCATTTTAAGGGCTAATTACCGGGAAAGAGTTAAAAAATATAAAGAATACAATAAATATACTAAGACCGAGGAATATTACACACCGTTTTTTATGAAAACTCGAAAATATTTTTATTCATTTCTTGTTCTTTTTAGTATTGTAAGTAAATCGTTTAATTCAAAAAAAAAATAATTTCTTTGCAATTTCCAGATTATATTTTTGTTACTTACGTTAACGATAATTTTAATTTCAATTCATTTTATAAAATACTCAATCATTCGGTATCGTATTAAAGTCGCCGAGATTTACATGCGCCCAATATTGGAACTTTATTCTTCATTCATGTCGATTTTTCTTATGAAGATGTACGCCCCGGTGAGTTTTTTTACCTAAACATTACTTCTTGTAACTTTTATTTTTATTTCTAGCATTTAAATAGGATTGCTAAAGCGTTAACCGACGACGAAATTCATCGAACCCAAGATGATTATCTTAACTCGTTCGTTTTTAAGAGTTACATCTTATCGTTTTTTAATAGTTATAGCATGCTATTCTATAAAGCTTTCTTTAAAGACTTTTGTTACACAAATCCGAGCGATCACAAGATTTATAATCAAATGTTTGGGATCGCCTCGGATCTTTGTGCCCCTGCGATTGGTTGTATAATTAATTTATCAATTACTGTAGGATTTACGGTGGGTAAAAATCATATTTTGGTGTTGGTTTACAAAAGTTATCTTATGGTGTAAGTAATTATTTTATTTTTAAACTGATGTGTTGATTTGGTTTTTTTTAGGTATTTAATTGATACTTTTAAATATATTATGGGAAAAATAAAGAAAATTCCGTCAGTAGCAATGTTGGATATTCCTCAATGGGAGCAAGAATTTTGTTTGCGACCGACATGTTCGATTTTTTTCGTTTCAAGTTTTAGTACAATAGGTAATCATCATAACTGAATATTATTTAACATTTCTTGGTCACGCTTCATAAAATGGGTAAACAATCCCGACCAATCTTAACATTTCTTGGTCACGCTTATTAAAATGGGTAAACAATCCCGACCTATCTTAACATTCATAATTTTTATTTGCTTTTAATATATTTTTGATCTCGGTACTGTGAATTTNTATGTTCCTCCACATTTAACCGCGTTGTCTCCAAATTTACGGTGATACCAACAAATAGTCGAATAACTCGTAGAATTAGATCTATTCCGCGAGTGACGTGACGAAGAACGATGTCTATATCGAGAATTGTGAAAACAATTACAATTACAATTCTTCGACGTATTTGTTGGTATGTTTTGAAATTGGGTAGTCAAAGAATTTATTTGATTTTCCAAATTTTTGTCCTTTTGTCCTGTTGTTGTTGTTGTTGTTGTTGTGTATTGGTAGTCACTAGTGCTTGACGCGTTAACGTCAGATTTTGGATTGTTGTTAGTAATTCGTCGTGTGGTGGTGTTTTTGTGGTGCGATGTTTTTGAACTTCCGAGAGGTGTGTTGAGGTCGACGTCAAATTCATTGATTCCCACACCTTGTCGGCAATGGAAAGAATGTCCACAACGTCCTCTTTGCCAGAAGCGAGGAGTGCAACCGAAACAACACGAGGTAGTCTCCTTTGCCACAATTTTAATAACAAATTTGGACTAACCACCTGAGAACCACAAACCGTGGTCAACATCGCTCGATAAAAATCTGACGGTTTTTGATCTCCCATTTGCGAACCTAACAGAACATCGTCCAGCCGTTTTTCTTCACTCAATGATAACCTGTCGATTAACAATTTTTTGAGTGAAGAATATGGATTTATGTCTGGAGGGTTCTGTATGAGATCTACCACGGTAGAGATGATCTCAGTGGGTAAATTTGCCAAAAGAATGTTGATATATGCCAAAAATTGTTGAAAATATGATTAATTTTTTGATTCCTCTTAATATTAGTCCTACAGGAATGAAAAGTGACTTTACTCACCAGCACACGACTGTAAACAAAACGTTTGGAATCTTGATGGTTGCGGGACTGGGCTGGCGCTTGTTCTAATTTGATGGAATGACTTGACGTCTTGTTATCAATTGACGTAATATGGCTTGGGTTTGTCTTTATTGGGTATGGGTAGAGCGCAGATTCAAATATTTCGTCGGGGACAGGTTCAAGCTAATCTTCGGGTGCAGGTATAAAGTAATCGCTGGGGTAGGTTCAACAAAAAACAATTCGTCGGGGGCAGGTTCAATCTTCGGGGTCACCAAATTGTGGATATATATATATGTGTCCACAATATAAATTAATATTTTAATAAGTAATAATATGAAGTACATTCACAGGACTGATAGAATCGATTTTATTATTTTGAATGATAATAATATTAATAATTTTATATAGTAACGTTCTTTTTGTTTTGTACATGTCGTGTGCACAGCATGCTACAGTGATGTTCCTGATGATTTATAGAAATTATTTATTTCACTGCTTTTAAAATATATAAAAATAACATTGAATTTATTTCGATTTTCATAAAGGAAAAAAAAATATATCGTTTCCATAGCAAAACCGTAAACTTTCCCATAACTTCTGTCTGGTTCTTGTGACACTCCCCAAAGTTGGAACACCACAGCACATGCAAGTCACCATAACCACGTCAAATCGATAAGTATAATTAATGGTACTATAATATCGTCGTCATGACGATGTCGCAATCGAATTTTAAATAAGTTCTATCTTCTCGGTATCCCATCAAATCAATTATTAAAAGAAGGTGTCAAAAGTGGAGTGTTAAAAAATGGCATCCAAAATTGATGTGATCTACGATGGATCTCAAAGGAATCTTTCCGAAGTGCCTCGTGATTTATTAGAATTGTGCAATTTGCAAATGTTGTATTTGGAGAATAATGCCATTGAGTATCTTCCAGAAAATATATTTCAAAAGCTACCCAGATTAACCTGGTTAGATTTGAGAAATAACCGATTAAAAGAAATACCGAGTGGCGTTGCTAATCATCAATGTTTAGATACTATATTATTAGAAGATAACATGTTGGAGAGATTACCAAATGAATTGGGTAAATACATTTCTTATTAATCACATAAATTAAATTTATTTATTCTTATTAAATAGGTCTTTGTCCAAATTTATTGGTGCTTCAAGTTCAAGGGAATCCTTTAGTTTATCCCCAAAAAGAAATTCTTGAGAAAGGTGCATTAGCGACTTGTGAATATCTAAAAACGCAATTTGAACAAAAAACGAATCTACATACATCTTCGGAGTTATCACTTCCTTCCTCAACCACAGCACATCATTCACAACCACTTCGTCGATTTGCAAACAGAAAAACAATAACCATTCAAGAATTATTAAGAAAAGCAGCAATGGCAGCTAAAATGATGCGCAATGATAATCCTGTAATCACCGTAAAAGGTTTATCACCAAAAAACAGTATTTCGACCTCAATCCCAACGAAGCCTAAACCTACTCCGATAGAAGAACCGCTTGAATTTAGAGTTAAAAAGAAACCGGTAAAGTTTTGTCCGAAAGCGTCAGTTAGTAATGCCTATTATAACAGTAATAAGTATTTAAATGTTAGAAAAGCCAAACCGAATAAAGAAAGAGTGATCGATCAACAAATTAAAGATTTATGGATGGAAAAATTAAAAGAGATCTTGGAACAACAGGAACAATTGCTTCAACAAGAACGAAACTTAAAAGCTTTAAAATCGTGGAGATTTCAAAAAAATATGGAACCTATTAGAAACACCGAGCGGCCGAAACTTGAAGTTCCATATGATACCGATCCCGATTATGATAAGATGATTCAACGAGAAGATTTATATAAACAAGTTGATACAATCGTGCGAAAGAGAAGGCGATTTAGCAAAAACGTCGATATGACTAAGATGATAAGCGAACTCGTGGCTCAATTGAAAGAGTTGGAAGCACAAAATGAAGAAGCTAAGGAAAGGAAAGAATTAGAAAGAAGCAATGTTCCATTGGTAAATTTAATTAATTATAACAATTTTATTTTTAAAATATGTTTTAAACAGGAAGGGGAATCTACGGATAATGGCGCTGAAATGAGAGCTTATGAACTTGCAAGAGCGGAAAATGAGATAAGAAAGGCAAGTAATTATTTTTGGACGTTCGATAAGAATATACAACAATCTAACGCTGAATAACCTAACTAAAAGTAGAACTAGCACTGAAATTAAAACTACACCTAGGGTTAGAAACATTCTGGTTTATCTATGCATCTCTTAATATGGCTAAATCAGAATGTTTCGTAATTCTAGATTTAATGTTAATTCTACTTTTAATTCAATAAAAATATTCAACAATCTAACGCTGAATAACAAATAAAACTAGAACTAACACTAACGAAGCCGAACGCGTCTTCAGACGCACGGCTAAACCCGAAATTTTCTAGTTCTAGGTCTAGTGTTAGTTCTAGTTTTACAATAACATTGTTACTATGTAAAACTAACACCATACCTAGAACTAGAATCATTTGGGTTTAGCCGCACGTCTTTAAAGACGGCTAAACCCAAATGATTCTAGTTCTAGGTATAGTGTTAGTTCTAGTTTTATACTAACACTGTTACTATGTAGAATTAACACTATACCTAGAACTAGAATCATTAGGGTTTAGAAAGGCTTTTATGAAAAGCTTTCCAAATCGTGATAATGATTGATTTCCAGAGTACCGATGATGTATCCATAGCTACTAGTTGAATTCTACTGCAAATCTGGTATTTCTGATATACTAAATGCGCCAAAGTGCATAAAATTAGCGGATTAGATTAGTACTTAACAGATGATGGGAAAAGTAACTATAACATAACATGGCAGCGTTTTGTACCAATTTTTGGCAAAAATTTCAAGTATTTCGCATGAACTTGTACCAAGTTTTCTTCATCAAATGTCTCTTATGCTATTCTGAATCACTCATTAATGTCAGGGACAGGTTGGGTTGGATCACTAACTATCAAAAATATCTTACAATTAGCCCACATCCATGTTATAATACAGTTTCTTCTGGTATTTCCTTATTCTGTATTTTCTAACCTAACTAGTCTAAAACCATACTGACCCAAGTTCTTGCTTGTCATCAACATCAATAACCTAAACCCAACCCAACCTTTCTTGTAAAAATCAATTATCCCCGAAGTAGCAACTAAGCATGTTGGCCGAACCTACATAGTACTCTTCAGAGATCTATACTCAAAATTTCCACTTTATTCTTAGTTATTCTGCCATCGCAGTCGAGTATTCTATATTGTTTTCTTTTCTTTCCTTTGTTCCTCTTCTTTCATTTCTCCATTCAATTTTTTTTGCGTTAACTCGTTTGTGACAATTTTTGGTAGAACTATCAAACACTTTCACATAAATTTGCACCAAGTTTTCGTCATCAGACAGCGTCTCTTATAGTATTTTGAATAACTTATTAGTTCCACGGACAGAGTGTTAACCAAAACCCTTGTGTGTTGGGTTGGGTTGGGTTGTATCCCTAATTGTTAACAATATCTTAGCCACATAGCTACATTCATGTCATAACACATTTTCTCCTGGTATTTCCTTATTCTGTATTTTCTAAGGTATCTTGTCTAAAACCATACTGATCCAAATTCATCAATTTCAGTAACTTGAACCCAACCTAATCCAACTCAACCTTTCTTGTAAAAATTAATTACCTTCACCAAAAGTAGCAACTAAGTATGTTGGCTACACTTAGTATGATTAGGCTTTAGTTTCTGTGTATAATCTTAATTATTCTGCTATTGTAGTCGAGTATNTAAAAATCATGACGGCAGTCTGAGTTACGACATGGTGAGTGTGTTTTTTAAATGGAACATCCTGTATATTTTAAGGTTTTTGGATTCTTTTTGACAAGGTGTTGCAAAATGCCATAAGGTTTTAATGCTTTAAACTGCATAGTTTTCGAGATATTGAAACTTTTATTTAAAAAGATTTGACGTAGCGACAACCAAATTATGGTGTCATTATGGAATAGACAACCTAAGCCTTGACGTCGTTGATGGGCGGAGCTTATACCGACTCCAAACATCTTCGTTGCTAATTGTGTTGCTAAGGATAAACTAAGTGACATTTTAGATGACATTTTAAATGACATTTTTATAACCATGTCGTAACTCAGACTGCCGTCATCATTTTTATTTTATTTCTACGTCAAGATATGCGGAAAATAGTTTCAAGTAACTTTTATTTAAAACTTTTTTTAATGTAAGATTAAGTTTAGGCTGTAGAACCATTATTCCATACTTTTTGTACATCCTGTATAACAATCTGGTACTGAATAACAACTAAAACTAGAACTAATATCAACACTATCACTAGAAGTAACACTTAGAGCTAGAAACATTTTGGTTTAGCCAAGGGTCTCAAGACTGCTATACCCGAATCTTTCTAGTTCTATCTTCCTTGTGGCTAAAATGAATTTCACTTTGTCATTTCTTCTGAATGATACAAATTGGTTAATATAGAATAATCTCGTATGATTTCAAGTGTCTTTGTTAGTTGTTGAAAGGTTGATTTTTGATATATCATTGTCATACTTATCTACAGTTTAAGAATAATAACAGTTTAGAATAATGTAGGTAAATAATGTTTTTTTTTTTACAGATATTAGATCTTCACAAAAAAGTAACAAACTTACAATCCATGAATGATACCGCACCATAAATAAGTTTTACATTTGTTTAACAAAAAATTACTGTAACTACCCAAAACAACTATGTTTATGTAAATGAACAATAAATAGGCAATTCAATTTATAGGAATTTTTATTATTCTTAAATAATTTTTGATTTTTTTTCAATAGACATTAGATTAGCTACACTTTAAGAACCGCAACATAAACCTTCATTGTTATCGAATAAAAAAGTCAATCAATACATCTGAACATCAGGATAAAATTGAAATAAAAACAGAGAAATTAATAAAATTCATATTATAATAATATGGGTGTGGTGAAAAAAGTCAGTCCTTAGAGAACAAAGTTAAAGGGGAAAAACTAACAACAAACATTGAATTTGTTTAAAAAGTACGCCCCATAACGATTTTTCCTTTAATAGCTTCATGAGTATTCTCCACAAAACCCAATTTGCCATAAAACGCGTGTGTGTAACTATCGTTTGTATTCATAATTACATGCACTCCAAAGGATCCTACAACAACAAAAAAAAAAAGGTTTACTAATAGTAGCATTAATGTTTCTAAAATTTTTTTATATATAGTGATATAAATAATTCTTACCATTTGCTCTTAGTGCTGCTAACAAACAAGTGACAAGTCTTTTACTAACAGATTGATCCAAAACGGATGGCAGTAAACTACAGATCATACTAGATGGGTGTGTTGGGCTACTAACATACACCTCATCCTTAAAATTATGAAAATACTCTACACTTTCTTTAGCAAATTTTGAAATATCCGTTCTATCTTCGTTTATGGGGTACTTTAAGCACATCTCTGGTATCCAAGCTAATTCTACTTTCAGCCTAAATTTCTTGTAATCAGGGGAAGCGCAAGCATACCCGACGATTCCACTTTCATCTTCAACGACCATACAGAATTCTGGATGCATCGTTAAATACGCTCCAACTATTTTGTCGGCTTGAAGATCTTTAAGATCGTCCGGATATGGCAAACAGTCTTCTAACCCGTCTTTGCAGGTTCTAGTGCAAACTTGGTAAACTTGTGCCTCATCAGTTGGTAAATAAGGACGGATTGTGTATACTCTGCATGTCGGTACATCCGGTGCTTTATAAACGAAGAGATCGTTTCCAGAATCAACCGGAATTAACCTCTAAAAATGAGATAAGTCATAAAAATATTGCACAAATCATTTTTTATTATTTACTTGTAAATCAGCGGTTAGACCTCCTCTAAACACCCAAGGTTCTTGTTCGCCACTCATAAAAGTCTCCTTCCATCCTTTTGAGAACCCTAAATAAACAGTAAAACAAAGTTTAAGAAAAAATATTCAAAAATAACCAATTTTCGCATATGCTGCGGTACAATTATATTTTCGCGCGCAATTTTTCGCCCTTAAAAAGATGTTATGCAAGCAGCTTATCAATTCGCTGAACGAGCGCGCTTTGTTGAACACGTGCTCAATACGTGCTCAACATGATAATGAAATTAAAATGAAATGATTGCGATTTGACGCGCATGATTTCGCGAAAGCGCTGTTAATAGAAAATGATTTATACAATAAAAACTCTAAATACGCTTGCGAACCAAAAACGATTAACGTTACGCTAAGATGATAAGCCTTAAAATCTAGCTCCCCTGTCGATGCGTACATGTGTAGGTCCCTTGGGTGTACGAAGGCATTGAGGAAGGAAACTGGCCGCCAGCTTAAGAAAATAAATATTTTGGTTAAAAATTTAATTACTCAACTAATTTTATTTAATAGGTTATCATATTTTAACTTTTTTTATTGTTGTTTTATTTTACTTTTGAATCGAAAAGAATAAATTCTTCATTATCGAAGATGCAATATTTATGATTAATAAAATTTTAATTTCGTAAATGAAGAATTTTTCATTTTAACATTGGAAAATTTAATATTTTTTTGGGAATTTGACGCCCTAGTAGCAAATGTCGCAAAAGCGTCTGCTCGTAAGAAACCACCTGTAAGAAATCTCTGCAACAAAAATCGGTTGATGAACCTATAAAAAATAGCTTTGTAATGACGCATTTTAGCTTAAATAGTGCTGGAATAATAATTCTTATTAAACGCAATTTGAGGTACCTCATCCAAATAACACCAAAAAGTTACAAAACAAAAATTAGATAAGATACATGTTAAATAAAGAATGTAAATAACATAAGTCTGCCTCAAAAAAAATCTTAAATACAAATATGTACTCAAACGTTATGTTAATGTAAATTATTATATTAAGCCTTATTTGGTACAGGTACCTTATTTAAAAATTGAAAAATAAAAGCCTTAAATTACAAAAATTAATTTGAATTATTTATTCCAAATAAAGAATGTTGGCTTCAACATTATTTATGACTGTTTATTTCATTAATTTAATCAATACCAAAAAAATACTAAGTTTTCCAATTTATACCGTTAATTTTGTCAAATTTTAAATTCTACATTAATACTTAAAAAAATTATAAAAAACATACCAAGCCATTTTATGTAAGAATTTAACAAAGATATCACTCCTCGAATATCCCAAACATAGGAGTACAAATCATACAATAATTCTCTATTGTTACATGTAGTGAGATGTTGAAATAATTTGTTAACTGCTTCAGTCATTTCGCCCATTTTTTCAGCTCTTAGAAACCACTCTTGTATCTAAAAAATAATTCCCATTAACACTTTGGAACTTTTAGCAAAGACAGACGATACCTATCTCTACAGAAGCTATATACAGGTGTTTCAGGTTTTTGTAGCAGGACTTTAACAGTCGATAGGAGATATACGGAGGTTTTTTGGCATGAGAAAGACGATTATAGAGTCCGTTTTACTATAGCCGATAGAGGGCGCTTTGTAACATATTCTTTATGGATTAAAATAACAATAACTTTTCTGACAGTATACTTTTTGAATAAAAATGTGCTTTTTTAAGCAAAACGGTTCTATTATTATACCTATCTTTAACAATCCTCTAAAAACATTGGTCTGTATCGAATAATAAAAAGCGGATTATCTTGAAAACGATCAACTTAAGCGCATTTTGATAAGAGTACCGTTTTTGCTTAAAAAAGTACCAAGAATAAGAATTTTTATTCAAAAAGCCAAAAAGTATACTGTCAGAAAAGTTATTGTTACTTTAATCCGTAAAGAATACGTTACAGAGCGCCCTCTATCGGCTATAGTAAAACTGTCTCATACCAAAAAACCTCCGTATACCAAATTTGAAAAGAATCGGTTGAAATACACGTGTAATATTAAATAAAAATTAATTTAAAAATTTAATTTGAACACCTGTATCTTCAAAACAAAGCGTTTGTCGACCTATGTGTACATGAAGTACCTGAAACACCTGTATATAGAGTGTCCCGAAACTCAATATCATGCAGGCACCAGGTGAGAGATACCTGTTCTGGTAAAAATAAGAAAAAAATGCCATGTTCGCAATTTAATAGTGATTATTTTAATAATGTATTCCTTATGAACCATGCTACTATAGAAGTCACAAATCAAACAACAAAAGTCGTTAGTTTTGTAAAAAAAAATAGTTTGATTGAGTTAAGGTTGAAAGAATTTATGTCTATTAAGTTTGACACATGCTTTCTAAAAAAAGGAGTAGTACAACACCCTTGGAAAGTTATTTTAAAAGATGGTGTTCAAGATTCCAAAATGGTATAACACTTGCCACTTTCCTTTTCCTAAAAAATATTATTTCCTGTTTTTCTGCAAAAAATACGTTATTAAAAAATCGTCATTCTCTGGGCCTAAATCCCCTTGATTTTTTTATTGGGATTGCATAAAAGAAACAGTGTATTAAAAACCGATTGAAAATCTTGCCGAACTGCGCCACAATATTTATACAGTAGTAAAAGAAATGAATGCAAAGAGATTTGCACAACTAGTAAAAAGATCTTTTCTGCGACGATGCAGAGCTTGTATTAATGCCGACGGCAAACAATTTGAGCATTTCCTTTAGTTTTAAGAAAATAATGCAATAAAATTAATAATAAATAAATTAATAATTCCTTTTGTTAACCTTATTTGAAACAGTCCTGTTGCAAGACATAAGGGCAACCATCTTGTTGAAACCACATTTTGTAGTTTTGTAGATATTGAGTGGCACATCTTCTAACAAAGTTAAGAGGAAATAAAGAGTAAATACAAATAGCATACCAAAGTATGAATTCTTTAAATAACAATAAAAAACTAAAATAATAAAAAACGCAATATTTTTTTGAAACGAAAAATGGCACTTGACTAAACAGCCCATCTTTTAAAATAACTTGCCAAGGGTGTTGTGGTACAACTTACAAGGGAAGTATCAGAACTGTCCCTCACCGATTTTGTTGAAATTTGGTACAGCGATAGTATGGCCAAAAATAAGGTTTACGTATTTTTTTATACGTGCTAATAAAGCCCCTGGGGCGAGTTATAAGGGTTGGAAATCGGGGCGAAATATATATATTCGCTTATAGGCTGAAAACGAAAATAGCTATCGAAATGTGGTAAATGTAAACTGATATTCATTTTCAAAGAGCTTTCCATTGATATATCACACATATATCTGAGGGCTTCAGGGGGTAAACTACCCCTAGTTTTTTGGAATATTTTAAAAACTACCCTGTCGATTTTGGCGATATTATGTGTCCTTATAGTACGTTTAAAAATATTAATGACGTGTTTTTTCTTATTTGCCTCTGACCATCCCCTGCAAAGTTACGGGGTATGATAGATAACCCCTTTCCTTAAGAATAATGTGATAAACTGTTACACTTTTGAACAATATTTTGAAGAAAACCATTAATTAGATGTAAATTAAGATTTACGCAGTAAAATAAACCCTATACGACATTAAGGGGTGGCTGGGGTTAACTACCCTAACCACCCCAAAAATTATTTTTTTTTGCGAAAATTGTTTGTCGATTTTGGTGCAATTTACCACGATGATTTTTTTATACGTTAGGTAGTACTATTGTAAGAACTTACAAGGGTTAGAAGTTTGGGGTAGAAAATATATTTTCGCTAATAACTTTCATACTCCTACAGAAAAAGCTTTTTTATCCTTATTCTATTTAAATAACACAAAAGTTAGGATAATTATATAAATATTTATTAATAATGAGTTAAAAAGTAACTGACAAAAGAATGGTTGACTATCACAAATTGTATTCTACATTATTAATTTAATTTCTTTTTTTTTACTTTTTTTATTCAATATATTGTTGGCAATAATGAAAATCATGGAAAAAATGTTTTAAACACAACGATTGTTTACACCATGCACAAGTTATAACAGCTATATCTCCACAGATATCGCACGTAGGTTTTTCATTGGAAAAGCAAACCTCCACGGGATTTTCAAACTGTTCTGGTCTCTCCTCTATATATCCAGATGCAAACCAGGCGTATTTAAAAACATTAATAAATCGTGGGGAAGACAACTGGTTATGCGTTAAGGATTGCAATTTTAAAATATTATCTCGCTGATGCAAATTGACATCGTACTGGTAGAGAATAACTTGATCAGAAAATCTTCTAATGAAATTTTTCCATATTCTAAAACCAAATACATCCAGGGGTTGAATTTGACCTGTTGTCCCTGCAGGTATAGACAAATATTTAAACTTAACATCCGATGGAGTTACTTCACTAATAATTTCAGGGCAGTGGCCACTCCAAGAATCCAGTAATAGTAATGATTTGGGTCCGGTGTTTGGGAAATAGACATTTTGTAGCCAATTTTTCATATGAGCAGAAGTCAGTTTACCAGACTTTGATGCCAAAACGAATATGTTATCTGCTTTGAACATTGTATTTATTACCCTCGGTCCAAACGTACCAGAGGATTCTAACAATGTAGAATACAATTTGTGATATTTAACCATTTTTTTTCAGTTGCTTTTTAACTCATTATTAATAAATATTTATATAATTATCCTAGCTTTTGTGTTATTTAAATAGAATAAGGATAAAAAAGCTTTTTCTGTAGGAGTATGAAAGTTATTAGCGAAAATATATTTTCTACCCCAAACTTCTAACCCTTGTAAGTTCTTACAATAGTACTAACGTATAAAAAAATCAGCGTGGTAAATTGCTCCAAAATCGACAAACAATTTTCGCAAAAAAAAATTTATTTGGGGTGGTTAGGGTAGTTAACCCCCGCCACCCCTTAATGTCGTATAGGGTTTATTTTACTGCGTAAATCTTAATTTACATCTAATTAATGGTTTTCTTCAAAATATTGTTCAAAAGTGTAACTGTTTATCACATTATTCTTAAGGAAAGGGGTTATCTATCATACCCCGTAACTTTGCAGGGGATGGTCAGAGGCAAATAAGAAAAAACACGTCATTAATATTTTTAAACGTACTATAAGGACACATAATATCGCCAAAATCGACAGGGTAGTTTTTAAAATATTCCAAAAAACTAGGGGTAGTTTACCCCCTGAAGCCCTCAGATATATGTGTGATATATCAATGGAAAGCTCTTTGAAAATGAATATCAGTTTACATTTACCACATTTCGATAGCTATTTTCGTTTTCAGCCTATAAGCGAATATATATATTTCGCCCCGATTTCCAACCCTTATAACTCGCCCCAGGGGCTTTATTAGCACGTATAAAAAAATACGTAAACCTTATTTTTGGCTATACTATCGCTGTACAAAATTTCAACAAAATCGGTGAGGCACAGTTCTGATACTTCCCTTGTTAGTACAACTCCTTTTTTTAGAAATCATCATGTGTCAACTTAATAGACATAAATTCTTTCAACCTTAACTCAATCAAACTAATATTTTTTTTGCAAAACTAACGACTTTTGTTGTTTGATTTGTGATTTCTATAGTAGCATGGTTCATATTAAATACATTATTAAAAAAATCTATAACCACTTAACTAAAAGACATGGAATTTTCTTCTTATTTTTACCAGAACAGGCCTTTATATACAGCGACACCTATATATAACTTTTGAACACCATTTTCAATAAACTTACTTCAGGATTAGATTTTTCTTTATTTATTGATACAACCAAATGAGCATTAGACTTTAGCCAGTTGAATTCTTGCAATAATTGAAGTCCTTGACCACCATGTTCAAATGGCAAGTAAAACAGATCACAGAGGAGCGATAAATCATCAAAGGTAAGTTGACATTCTTTTCTAAAATTTCCGTATTTTATTTTCATATTAGTAATAAAAATATCTACACCAACCTTTTTTCTTCAACCGTTTCAACGACCATATTTGTATGATCACTACTTTCGATTTGCATACTTCCACTAGATGCCTAAACGAAAAATAATTCACATTCAAAATTAATTAAATCGCGTTCATTTTACTTACAGTTTCGCTCATAGCAACATCTTCATTCGATCCATTACATTTTGCAATATGCGCGGGTGAAATATTTGGGGTACTGTTACAATCCATTGGTTCAGAAGGACTCAAACTTGATTCATTACTCAAATCGTTGCTGATATCCGTCGTCATACTGGTATCTTCTTTCGCGACGGTATCACCATCTTTTCCAATATCCACTTTACCATTATCCTTAATATTACAAATCGTTTTTTCTTTATCCCTGATAACCGTGCCGTTTAAAACGGTTATACTTTGGACGTGATCATCGTTTGGTGGAATTATTTTGACCGGAATTGGGACTGGCGTAATCGGATTTGGGATGGATTCGTTACAGATAACTTTCGTTTCCGAAACGAGCGAATTCATAACGGGCGTTGGCATCGGATTAATTAATGCATCAGTTACGACATTTACGGTACTGCAAACTTCCGCCAAAGCTTGAAGTTGATTACTATTAACAATGGGAGTTGGAATTGTTCCAGTTGAAGTCGTCGTGGTTGTTGTTGTTAAACTCATACAGGTGTTTATTGATGGTATTATTGGAACTGGAACGACTAAAAATAATGTTAAGTTACGGATATAGGCGATAAAATCATTATAAACGGTTTATGAAAAAATCATCGATATTTTTTTAAATGGCATTCCCCCATTTTTATTACGGAATATTAAAGAGGATGTTTATAATGATTTTATCGCCTATATCCGTTGCTTTACGGACACACTGTATAATAACTTAAGACTATAGAGTCCGCGTCAAAAGTAAATTCCCCCCTGCCTAATTTAAAAACGGCTAACATCGTTTTCAAATTAGACTGGGGGTTACTTTAAACGCTGACTGTATTCCATTTACTTGCTACAGCTGGTTGTGGTTTTGCAATTGGTCCCCATGCGACTTTATGTTTTGAAAATTCCGGCAACCAATCGTTTATAGCATTTCTTAAAGCTTGTCTTGGGTGGTACATGTTTGGAGATAAAGTGGCTGGAACGTCTTCGCCTGACATACCATCCTCTGTTTCGGTTTCTAACTTAATATCGGCGGATACCGTGTCATCTAGATTTATTATTACATTAATAAATTATTTTATTATACAGGGGGCGATTCACATAAGAACCGACACTTACCTCTATACTAAGTTGTACCCCTGAGGAGTTATAGGCCTTCAAAGTTGGGTCTTAAATGTTTAATAGAAAAAATTTTATTCGGATTTTCGGTCAGCAGGAATTAAAACGCACGACTGTCAAATGTAAAAAGGGAAAACCCGTTTTTGGAGTGAGTTTTTTCTTTGTAAAATGTTGATTGATCTCTTTATTGAACTAAAACTAGAACGACAACTAGAAACATTCGGGTTTAGTCGTGAAAAAAACTTTCAGTTGTCAATGTCAACTTTAATTTTATTAATATATTCGTAATCTTCATAAAATAACCTTTAAAGTAAATCCAAACTTGACGCATTTATCTCAAAAAACTAGAAAGTTCGAACTTTCAACTTTTAATTTTGACATATTTGTCAACTTCATAAAAAACCTTTAAAATGAGTCCAAACTCGACATATTTAACTTTAATATTAATGGAAATACAATCACTTCCGGTTTGAAACGTCAACGTCAATTTTGACATATTTGTTATCTTCATTAAAAAACCTTATCTCAAAAAACGAAAAAGTTAAAATAGAAAACATTAAACCCTAAGTTAGCAACAATGAAGATAGCAATTTAATTTTTAAATATTAATACCAACCTTAATTTTATATTTTTTTTTATTATATTTTTGGGTTTGTGACAAATATTAAGACATTTTATAGAAATTAAGAATATGTCAAAATGACATTGACATTTCAAGTCAATGTCATTATATCTCGAGTAATATTAGAATTAAACGAATCATGTTTTGAACTCATTTTAAAGGATTTTGATTTTTCACGAAGATTACAAATATGTCAAAATTGACGTTGACATTTTTAACCAGAAGTTTAAAAAAATAAATTAAATTAAATTTTCATAAAATAACCTTTAAAGTAAGTCCAAACTTGACGCATTTATCTCAAAAAACTAGAAAGTTCGAACTTTCAACTTTTAATTTTGACATATTTGTCAACTTCATAAAAAATCCTTTAAAATGAGTCCAAACTCGACATATTTAACTTCAATATTAATGGAAATACAATCACTTCCGGTTTGAAACGTCAATTTTGACATATTTATCATCTTCAGTAAAAAACCTTTAAAATGAGTCCAAAGAATAGAAAACATTAAACCCTAAGTTAGCAACAATGAAGATAGCAATTTAATTTTTAAATATTAATACCAACCTTAATCTTTTATTTTTTTTATTATATTTTTGGTTATGTGACAAATATTAAGACATTTTATAAAAATTATAATATCTCGAGTAATATTGGAATTAAACGTATCATGTTTGGACTCATTTTAAAGGATTTTTCACGACGATTACAAATATGGAAAAATTGACGTTGACATTCTTAACCGGAAGTTGACCATAACTTGATTAATATTGTAGATAAATATGTCGTGTTTGTACTCATTTTAAAGGATTTTTAATGAAGATTACAAATATGTCAAAATTGAGGTTGATAGTCACTTTTCGCACTTTTTGATTGATTAAAAAAATTGTAAAAATCGTCGATTTTTAAGCCACATGATGATTTTTGAATTTTTCCCAACTTTCTTAATATTTCTTTTGTTAAAAAAGAGCGTTCTTAAATTTTAACCTGTAAACTTGTAACACGTCGTCCTTAATTTTATTTTACAACTTTTTAAACTTTAATTTTGTAAATTAGCAACTAATAATCTGATTTCGACTTTGATATGTGATCTTTTTTAACAAAACAAAAAGAAATATTAAGAAACTTGTTAGTAAAATGGATAAGATGAGAGATGTTAATCTATTTCTAGAGTCTCTGAAGATGGCCAAGGGCCGAAACTGGTTAGACTTAAATTCTATATAAAATAAAAACCAGTTTAAAAGTACAAAATCAAACTCTAGATCTTCTCACTCTTTATGCCACGATTTACAGAAACACAAGTCTTATATTTTTAGAGAGATGAAAACGAAAATCCCGTTTTTATCAACATTATTCATTTGTCGCTTAGTCAAGTGATGCATAACGCCGTCCAATTGGTACTAAATTGAGATAAAATTTTTTTTTACAAAAAATTACTAAATTTTGACCGATTTTTTTAACCTTTTGGCGGATTTAATACATTATTACTTCATTTAATGTGGAATTTAATTCTAAAACTTTAATCAAACCTTTGAAAAGCCTCAATTGGCCTTACTTGCTACCAATTAATACCCTTGGTGCACTCATAATGTATACCAAATTTGATTTTTCTATCTTAATGTATTACAAAGATATTGAATGTTTTAAGACCTAACTTTGAAGGCCTATAACTCCTCAGGGGCACAACTTAGTATACAGATTAGTTGAGTTAAATCATCTTAATTGTCCCTTCTTATATGAATCACCCTGTATTTATTATTATAATTACATACTTAATGTTAAATCTCTTTGTCCATCAACATTACATCTAGACCATTGTGCCAAAGTATGTATAGCAACAAAATTCGCTCCATACTCGCAATTAGGATTCGTTAAAACCCCTCTTAATTTTGGAATTAAATCAGGAGATCTTCCTGAGTATGGCCCCAAAAACACCCTCTTCTGATCATAATCATTGGCGTGTAAATTGTCCCAAATAACCGGTGCGCGTCTTAAAATGTCAGTAATCTCTTGAATACCTTCTTTAGTCAATAATCGCGATATAACTTTCGATCCAGTCCACATAATATCAATTTCCTGTGCTAACTTACTTCCTAACGTATTCAAATACTCAGAATTAGTAACATTTGGCACTGCCCTTGTGGCGCAATACTGCGTTGGGCATACAAAGAACTTGGGTTGTCCCAAATGTTGATAAATTTCGTTTGTAACGGATACCTGGGCGTGAGCAAACGATTGGAACACCTCTTTATCAGCTTCTGACATTTCAGGTTCGATATCATCAAAGAGAAGCGCAAAAGCCGTACAACCAAATTGGGCTACTTGTTCTAATTTTCTTTTTAGCACTGTCACTTCTTTCGAACTACTATAAGTTATGTCCAAACCCGGTGATAAAGCATAATAAAATGTAATGTTTTGATCACGAGCTGCTGTTATTAAACTTGTTAAATGTTCGGCTTCTTCTACTGTGTAAAGTTCTCGCCAATATGCTCGGTGTTTATAATCATCTTTTGGGGCGTAAACATACGAGTCCATACCCCATTTCTTCATCCTTTATTAAAAACATGCAAATTACTTTATTAGTAATAAAGAGATTTTGACTTACTTTTGAAATAAATCCTTTCTCTGTTCTGTAGTCCATGGTCTACCATAAAATCCTACAAACCATACAAAATAACAAGATTTAAATAACAGTACAAGTCTAAAAATCCTCTCATTAACAGTTTAACATTTAATTTTAACCACCTCAAAAATTTCTACTATAATGTCTACTACTAAACTTTTCCATTTACTTGTGTATTTATAAAAAGAACATTGATAACGTTTTACCTTCAACAACTCCACATATAAAATTTCCGTTCTTGATATTTAAATTATCTGTATTAGGTAGGTTATGTACTTCTGCCATCTTCTTTCCCACTGAAAAGTACCTTCACAACAACTTCCCCCCTTACGCGGTGCAAAACAACATCAGGAATTGCAAAAAGGAATGTTTAAGGCCGCATAATTATCGGGTTTTTGTGGCGTTTAAGGTTAATACTTAAGCGTGGATACTTTGTTAGTGGAAAAGTTTATAAATGAGTTGTTTTTTTTTGCTTTAAATCTAAACTGTCATCCGTACATAATATGCGGGTCAAGTGTGGGGAAATAAATCAGCTGTTTGTTAGATGCATACTATTCCCGCTACTTAAATGTACAGTTTCGTCTAATAATAAAGAATTTAATATGTTTTTGTTATTAAATTGGTCTATTTTTGCAGTTTAAATTTAGTTTGTTGTAAATACCGCGTGAATCACAAGTAAAGTATTTCAAAGACGATAAATTTAATGTGTTAGGTATTTATGTGCAAATTAATTAATTAATCTTTATTAACGTTTTAAATTAATTATTTATAATGAGAAATGAAATAAATTAATTATTTAAATTCTTTTTGTTATATGCGTTAGCTTGGTTGCCTATACTTCAAATATTTCCGATATTTACAAAATGTGTCAATTGGTGTTAAACTGGTTGCAAACTTATTAAAATAATCCATACTAACTATCACCACTGTCACTAAAACTAATGTTAGATTTAGACCTAGAACTAGAAACATTCAGGTTTAGCCGTCTTAAGAGACGCACAGCGCCAGTTAATTCTACTTTTCTTTAAATAAAAATATACCACAAGCTAATGCTAAACAACATTTAAAACTAGGACTAATACTAGACCTAGAACTAGAAACATTCGGGTTTAGCCTCACGTCTCTCCAGACGGCTAAACCCAAATGATTCTAGTTCTAGGTCTTGTGTTAGTTCTAGTGATAGTGTAAAACTAGAACTAACACTAGACCTAGAAGTAGAAACATTCGGATTTAGCCGTACGTCTCTCAAGACGGCTAAACCCAAATGATTCTAGTTCTAGGTCTTGTGTTAGTTCTAGTGATAGTGTAAAACTAGAACTAACACTAGACCTAGAACTAGAAACATTCGGGTTTAGCAACACTTCTCTCAAGACGGCTAAACCCGAATGATTCTAGTTCTAGGTCTTGTGTTAGTTCTA